CTTTTAGCACAAAAAAGAAAACTGAAATTTAAGGGTGCGCGTTATACGTCGAATATAAAAACGGCGAAGTTTTGAAAAAATAATAAAATGAAGAGTACAAAAAGCTTTTACTGACAATATTGAAATATTATTTATTTAAAAGAAATGACATGTCTTATAAACTAAAAAGAGTTTCTGGGGCTCTGTAAAGTATATTATTTTATCAGTTCGGGGATAATACCTCGAATATATGACTCAAACAGTGGCAACATTGGGGTGTCCTAGGTCCGGACTCCCCCAAAGCCGTTGATTTTTTTTCAATTGATTATAATTCTAAGTATATATAGTACGTAAATTTACTAAATATTTGTCATTAATGATTAATTTTATTAATTAACGCTAATTATTTATTCAATAATTAGTTTTACGTTTTTGTTCCCGAAAATCGACAAAATCGTGCTGAGCATGATACAAGAATGGCGAACTTGAACCCCTGGACCTCCTCCCCTTCTAGTACCTTGTGTGTGCCACCGACTTCCGTAAAACCATAAGAGATAATATTGTATGCCAACATATTTGAGATTTCTTCGTATTAAAGGAGATGCACGTTATATACGGTGAATACGCCTAAAAATTTAAAAAAAATGTAGCTTGAAAGTATAGGTGCGCGTTATACGCCGAATTTTACGGTAATTATCTTACATTTCTTTTGTTATGACCTTGTGTATACATGGAGCTAAGTTGGCGTCTTTTTAAAATTGTACTCTCATTTTTATCTAATGATATAAGTATATTTTATGAATGTTGTTATAAACTAATTTAGAACACAATTTATAATATCCAAAATTACAAAAAAACAGTGAAATTATTTTTTTTTTCTAGAAATATTATTTAAACATGAATGTAATAAAAGGTAAAAATACTTTTACTTTATCTACATTAAAGTAAAACTTAAAACATGCCCTTTTGCATTTTTGAAAAATGCATGCACACAGTAAAAGTCTTAAGGTATGGGTCAACGGCCTGACCCAGAGCCTCACCCCGGGTGGGCTTGTTCATTTCGACTTCAAATCTTAAGATTATGATAAGGATAATTTTAATGGTCAAATACGCTCCTGCGCATACCCTCCGGAAAAGCAGGGAATTTCAAACCGCATGCCAACTGGCAAAGTGTCCAGACTGTATTCTTATGTGAAGCATCTCATTATCTATATCTAGGTCTAGCCCAATACCATCAACAATATTTAACCAATTTCATCAAAATGCTACCCCAATACGTAGGAAACTGGTTTTGTGGAGATTTACCTCGCACACAATTATTTACTTAAAATTATACCGTTTTTTATTATTGAAAATACTATATATGCAACCTCTGCACCACAAAAATATCACATCGAAGCTTACAGAAGTAAGTATTAAAACACACACATTCAGGGAAACAAAAATAAATAAAAAAATATTGAGGTTAAGAAGAAATACAATATTTTGCCAAACAAATTCAAGGCAGAATTTTTGAAAGTACTTCTGGTGGAAAGAAGTTGGTGTAAGTACCTGAGGCCACTCTTGCTGTCCCCGGTGCCGTGTCTTTAGGATCTTTCTCTGGCAAACTTGGAACACAGAAGGAGCACATGTTCTTCATTTTCCTCGCCCCACGGGCATAATCACGCCGGTGAAGATGACGGAATTAAATTAAATTTGTTCATGAAGCTTTGAAATTACTGTTTGTACTATATTTTGACAATACTTGCTATACATAGTCTACTTTATTAAAAGACTGCCGTGGTGTAGGGCCTTACTTTTATGATAGGGGACCCAGGGCCTCAAAAAATCTTAAGATTTCTCTCGGCCCAGGCTTCCGCAAGACTTTATCCCCGTGCATGCGAAGTCTTGATTGAATTATATTTTTTGCCAACCCTTATCTTCTTATTTGTTGGGATTATCATACCCTAATCACTAGATTTTGCGGAACAGAATCTAACTTTAAAGCTTATCAGTCTACGTGACCTGCCGCAAACGAAATGTGAATTCAGTTCTATGAGCAGTAGCATTAGGTTTGATTTCTTTTAAATTGTTATACTTGTGTGGACTACTTTTTTCTTCCCATCTTTTTGAAAGCTGTATCTTTTTATAGGTTTTATATTTATAAAAAAATATATATTTTTAGATAATGTTCTCTTATTTATTTTAAATAAAAGTTAGATTTAAGTTTATCAATTAATTTTCAGCGTGCTGCATAAATTAATAAACCTAATTATGAGAAAAAGAGATAAATTAAAATAGTAGAACTTTTTTTGTGTACTGTTGTTATAATTTTGAATTGTCTTCATTGTGAATTTCAATTTTTAAATACTTTCAGGAATGATTACAGTTTTAACTTTTCATTGATTCCTCTTTTTTATAAAAAATTTGCAATATTTCATTTTTAAGTTCATTCACTATTTTTCCCAATGGGGCTACATTTTACAACTTCTAGTCTCAGGGCAAAGACCGTGCAGTCCTGTAAAACGTGAGAGCCATTTACTTAAGGTCCATCCGGCAGCAGGCGTCCTCACAACAAATTTGAACGCTAGAATTAATTTTAAGTTTCCTCATCTGAAGCCAAGTATTGCCGTGATTTACTCTTTGCTATATATACCCAGAGCCAAATTACATGTACTGCCGGGATTCGCCCATGATACCTATATGTTACACGGTAGCGCTTATTTTTGCATCGAGAAAAATCTATCGATCTCAGCCGTGGTGTCAAACCCCGGCAAAACTTAGGGATGCCCAACGAAACGGCATGCTGTTCGTACAAAGGCCACCGAAGCAGACTCAATCATTATTTTGCTAATAGAGATGTACCACCATTTCGTATGTATTGCTTCTTAGTCTACAATCTAGTTCATAATGTTTAGAGCTTGCTATTAAATACTGATGCTATCTTTTATTTTTGGGAATATGTACTGTCATGTTACATTTCTATTTTAGTTTCGTTTTCTGTGATTTATGAATCATATATATGTTGTATTAGGGTATGGCTGCCTCAAATCAATGCTGTATTGGTTTATTATTGGCAACCGCAGATTCATCTGTAACAAACTACTCATTCGAAGATTGAAATCCTCGGCATTTTTGACCTTGTTCCGATAAATATGTTTGCGCGAAGAGATAAACTTCGTCACGCTCTATCAGCACATGCGGATGCGCAAAATTTTGTCGTATCTGAATCTCAGTCACGCAAAAAGTCTCAAAGCGACGCCCAAACAGGAGCACGACACTACCGGTTTAAGCCACACCATCAGGACTCCTACAAAATGAGTCACGCTAATAATGATCAACAGTGTCTTCTAGCACGGCAGAAAACCCCAAGGATACTGCTAGCCACATAAATTAACGTTTCCTGCCCCTTGTAGTCCCGCGCATTGCGGATAGATTTTTGCATTGAAGGGTTGATTATTCATTCATTGCAGGTTCCAGGCGTTCAATACCGCCGCCTGTACAAGCTTGACTGATTTAAATTCCTTTTAACCAAAGTAATGCACTGCAACTTACTGTGGCGTCCACACATCTTTACCAAATGTGTCATCGCGCAAGTTTATCGTCTGGTGATTGCCGAATAACAGATAAATGCGCTGACGGATTCTATCACTTGACTCCAAAGTCTCGGTGAATTTTCCAGTCTACTTCTGGATGAGCAGTTTTTGAAAGCTTAGATTCTGAGGGGTAGTTTCGAAAAAATCATTAATTTTGGATACTTTTGGCTCGGACACTTTATATATATATATATATATATATATATATATATATATATATATATATATATATATATATATATATATATATATATATAGTGCGTGGGGATTATAACTTCAATACTTTCTTCGGAATCGAATTGTAAATTGTTTATCTTTCCCTGCTCTGTTTAATCCTTTTCAAAACCGTTTCTTTTTAACCTTCCGTCCCCAACAATCTGCTTATTACTATCAATGTATAACCCCCTCCTCATGACCCAAACAATTTAATTTTCCTATAGAAATTACCTCTTCATGCTTTCATGCCTACATGATTTTTATTCTGTTTCTCCCCTCCCCTCATAGGAGAAGTTTGTGCATGCCATTGGTAAGAAATCACTGAACAGACGAAGTATTTCCGTGTATTTGGTTATTTAAAGATGTCTTTAAGCCATAGTCTGTGTTTAGTATTATAGTCTTTAGTATTATAGTCTTTCCAAATTCTATTATTCTTCTGAGAATATTAAACTGTTTATACCTAACAATAGGAAAGAGAATCCCAAACTCGGAAAACTGTTTCTGATAATACAAGTGCCCCATACGTATAAATTTGGTATCATATTCAGATTTCATCATCAATAGAAAACATCATATATATTGCATCCAAGCGATCAAACCCCGCCGCCCACAATCTGCTGGCCAAATGAAACCCCGCACCCGGCGTGTTAGCATTAGATTCGGGAAAAGTTGATATGTCAGATCATGTGTCGCAAAATTTAGCGAAATTATAAAATAGTTTTGGAATACATGCTCGTTTGCACCCCACAGTTGCAAAATTTCTCATCAACCATATTATTACCTCAGTACATTATATTCTGTTATCAAGTTACAAAAGCTTATATCATTACGTGAATCAGTTACGGAACAACCAAACGCAAAATACAACGAATAACTTTTCACATTTTTCCTACTTTCATTATTGACCAATCTTTCTGAGAATGTCGTTCTTTATTCTCAATTCAAATTATTAATTCAATAACCCCTATATATAGTATATATATATATATATATATATGTATATATATATATCTTGCTCAAATTTTCAATCGTTAATAAAAATACTTTTTATCTTCATCCATTCAAGTTCTAAATACATTTTTAAAAACCTCAGCGTGGATGACACTTGATGTTAATGTTGAAGTTTTTCAAATATACAATTAATTTATTTAATAACAATTAATGTAAATAAAATCGTCCAAAAATAACAGTCAAATTCAATCATATATAAAAAGAAAATTGTTTCGTTGTATTCCTGTAGCGCAAATGCTGATAGCGCGTTGGACTTCTAATCCAAAGTCGTAGGTAACAGAATCCTACCTTAGATATTCATAATTACGCAGCACGGTGATTTTATAAACGAAGTAAAAATAATAATAATAGTTCTCGACACCATATAGGTGTACTAGAAAACCGCTTCCTTCGCCACTTAATATTGTGATTCTTACATATATACCATATATATTAATTGTAATACGACAATGTATCAAAGTAACTAAAGTGTTTTAAAAATCTTTCTTTGTTGACCGAAGTAGGAATTGACTTAATTTTTTTTTATACTACTCGTTTTAAATTAAATTCTGCCAAAATATCGCATTTTTCTGTGATGCGTTCCTTTCATTTCTGAATTTTTGTATCAGAAAATATGAAAATCTAATATTTTTAAATGCAGCAAACTTATTTCTCATTTGTTTTGGCTCGACGCCTCATTGATCTCATAGATCATTAAGGACAGGATAAAGGCTTTATAGAGGTTAAATTTTTCCCGTTACTACAACAATGAAAAAGAATGAAATCGCTTGCAATTTACTTATTTTCGTACCAACATTTTCTGCACAGTATATTTCATTGTTTCCCTGAGTCAAAATTGATTTTGATGCTAAAATACTTTTTTCGAAAACGTTTTAAGCAAAAATATTCCTTTTAAACATCATTGCATAAATAACTGTAATTAAAACCAGGAAATTATTTTTATTAGGATAAAAAATCCTTTTAAAAAAGGAGAAGAAAATTTTGAAAAGCTGAATTTTATAAAAAATGTTTAACAAACTATAAATGGAATTGCAGTATTTTTCTTCGATATCAAGAAAACAATATTGATTGTTAAAAATGATTTCTCTGAGAATTAACCTTTTGAAAAGGTTATATGTATGTGTGAATGTTGTAATTTTCTTATAACAGTTAGCTTATGTTATAACTTCTCACTTCTCTCTAATTCTTTTTTCCTAATTACTTTTCGAATACCCCTCTCCTGAAGAGTAGTGTAATTTTGAATACACAGATAGGATAAATAAATAATTTTTATTTCTTTCAAGATTATAACGGACAATTATATTTAGTGTCTTAAAGCAATGATTTATCACTTGTAAAATAAAGTCTTCAGCAAGAATTTTATTCTAAAATCGACGGTATATATATTACAAATTTTTAAAATAAATATTTCATTACTCGATGAAACTAATATATATGCTATGCTTAGCTACAGACTAATTTTTTTTTTTTTGAAAAAAATGGGCGTATATTTGTTTAAGTTTTTTTTATTATTATTATTATAAAAGAAAGTAGAAAATAAATCTTCGTAGGAAAGTTTTCATACAATTTTTTTTATTTTTAAAAGAAATTTACTATGCATCTCTTACCAGTAAAAGTATAAAATGCTTAAAATATCAATGGCTGTTGTGTATGGTATGAGTCAGTTATTTTGTCCTTGAATTCAATACATGTTTGAGATTCTTTCACAATATTGTAAAAGATTTAAAAATTAAATGTATCAAAAAATTTTTTGTGAAATTTAAATTTATATTTCTTTAAAAATGCTTGTTTTCGGCTAACATTTTTAAGAACAATGATGGATATTGTTCTCGAAAGAAAATATCCAAAGAGATAACAAAGTAAAAAGAAAAGCCGACTTGGATTTAAACTTCTTTAGAAGAAATTCAGAAAGATGTCCTCGCATCTAGATAATCAACCTGAAAATAAACTATTTAGCGGCACATCTCACTATAGTTAAATTAGAATAATAATATCTACCATATTGAATCTAAGCCACCATCGATTCTAAGCCGCCCCTGAAATTCTCAACACGTTTTTGAGAAAAGATAAGAAATTGTGTATCCGATACTTGAGAAATTAAAAAAAAAATTAATAAGAAGCTAAATAATTTATTTAGTTTACCAGTATCAAAAACTTTTAAATACACACATGAACCTATAATTATTCTAACCGTTACAAGATCATGTTTCGAAAATGATTTGTCACTTCTAATGTCACAGATGACTTCTAAACTCGTGCCAGCGTCACCGTTTTCCCACTCGGTGTCGACTTCCGTACCATCCAGTTCATTTGTCATGCAACATTTTTTCTAAAAGAATGTTTTATAGAAGAATGTAAAAGAATTATTAAAGACTGTTGAGCATTTACAAGCCAAAAATTTTATCGTTTTGCTTACGCCATCGACGTATATTTGTTTCTTCCGTGTCAAATTTTTAGTGGCAGTTGCTCTGTTTCCGTTTTCTTTCTGCATATAAAATTGCATCCCTTTTCATACTTGTATCATAGTGAACTCGTCTTGATGCTGTTACAGATATCCTTGATTACTTGTTTAAAAGAAAGCTTATACAAGAAAGTTTCCTAAAAACGAGCAGACAACGAAGGTAAGGATGAACTGAATACTGGAAACTGCGGTGTGGGATGCAAGTCCTCGATGCAAGTGGCCAAAATGGATGGTTACATTTTTCCTTTTGGAAAGGGTGGAAACTCAATCTCCCCATCTGACAAATGTTTTGCCTTCGATTCTAAGTTGCCCCCGATTTTCAGTAGCATTAACCCTGGAAAAAAATAGTACAGCTTAGATTCAAGTAAATACGGTAGTTAAGAAACATCAAGACAGAACCCAAAACCCTTTATGAGTAACCTTCAGAACCCAACGATGCCTCACTTCAAACCCTCTTTTCCAAGATATATAACTAAAAAGTTTGTATTAAAATTCTTTTCAACAATTTATAATGCAAAAGCGTGCTTGTTTAATATCCTAGTAATAACGAACAGGACGACGTGCCCCATTCCTTTTAATTTTTACCGTAGAGATTATCTCTCGGCGCTTTGATCTACGTGTTTTTATAATGCAATCCCCAATAAGAGAAGTCTGTGTACGCCACTGGTTAATTCAAAATTTAATTCTGTAAGATATAAAAAGAAAATGGCAATTTTATGATTTATTTGAAACAATATATATATATATATATATATATATATATATATATATATACTTCACTTACATTTTATAACAAAATATATCATGACATATGTTCTTTTCCCTCCTCTCATACAGAAACAAGCTGTACAACATGTGGGTCAAAGTATTATCTCTTCTCTTTTGGTGACGTCTTTGACAATGGCACTGGAAAACAACAGAGGACCATTAACCAATTGCAGCAATGATTCACTGGCACCCCTCCCACAGCCTTTGGCTCATCGCAAAAGGGGTACTCAACATTCTGTGCATATAATTGGTCTGTTCGATGTCCACGAAGGGGAAAGTTGTCACTTGCTGAGGCCAGGTGGAATGGAACAAGTGATGATGACTATAGGAGTTCTAGAGAATCAATTGATGACAGGGAGACAAATGTATCTGATATAGGTATTGTTAAATTAAATACTATTTTGATGCATATGGAAAACTACTTATTAATTAAAATAAAATAAAGACGAGCTTGCAAAATTCAAGATGTCTTGTGAAACCTTTAATCACAAAATTTATTAAAATTTCGTTCTAAAAAAACTGGATGCAATTCCTTATAGCAATTCATCTGATAATATACATCAGTGATACCATTTAATCTTGAGTATCAACACACTTTCAATGACATAAACATTCCATGTAGGTAAATATCGAATTTCAAATTAATCCGCTTAGGGAAATAGAGGATTAACTACTATGCTACCAAGGCAATTATTCTAAAACTATATAAACATATTTCATGTGCGACTACCATGGCTACTCAAAAACTTCAAATTAATCTGAAAATTTGTATTAAATCTAGTTGACATGGATGACTATTCTATAAATCCAAACATGTAAAAAAAAAGATTCTAATAAAAGTTTAATGTAAGATAAATATTTCGAAATATGAATTTTTCTTTTTGTAATCTTGCAAGGTATAATTAAATATTTATTTTCATAAAAGAAATATTCAAAATAAAAGACTCAATACTATTTAAAAAGATTATTCAGGAGTTTTCTTTTTTAATTATATATATCAATGAGAAATTACAGTATCTATCAAAAGGTTTAACTTTTAAATATATACGTAAAAATTCTTTGCTCGAATTTTTCATTTCATGACAATATCTGAGGGTTTTGCATCTTCAGTTAGAACTCTGAGTCAGAATTTTAATGTTTTTAAATATTTTTCACAAAATGATAACTCCTGAATAATTCCACATTTTGAATAATTTTACGTCTATTTTAATTTATAATAATGCAATAAAATTCGCCATCAATTCTATTCTTTGAAATCAAACAACTATTTTATATATAATCCAGAACTAAAATACAGCACACATTTTTGTAAACCCAAATTTGTCACCTAAAATGAGAGACTGAAGTATCTATCATGTTAGTAAGATTTAAAAGCATTTTTATGACTGTGATGATATTACTATAGGGCAGGGGTGGCGGACCTTTATGGATCAACGTGCCATTTTTTTCTAAAGCTGTGTTTAATGAGGTATAGACGTGCCGTCAAATAATTTTGACTTGTGATTGTTGGGAAAATTCTAACACTAAATACGAACAACTCAAAACTCTTTATTTACTACGAAAAAATACTTTTTGTATTATATATTTGTAAACGTTTTAGTTATACGTGTAATTCAAATTACAGCAACGTTACTGTGACTTTTGTTGTTCTAGATTGGATGATAAATAACTCATTTTAGGATTGTAAGATGTTACTTTTCGCAGAATGCATGCTGAGTTAGAGTCATCTGCCAAATGGTTTCTAAGCAATTAATTATTTTTGCTGTGGTTCCCTTTTTGGCAAGAGAATTTGTGATTTGTATCAAAATACCGTTTTACAGACGATGGTCTGCATACCACTGTTACAGAACATAAAACATACACCTCTCTCTGTCGCCTTTACAAATAATGCTATATTTCTAGATTCACCAAGTTTGAAATTCTCTGTTACAATTACTATCTTACATTTTTTGTTCTTTTGCTTAACAAGCCATTTTAAATAGAAGTTAAAAATTGTAAATATAACACAAATAAACTTTAAAATACAGTTGTGTCAACAAAATTGACTATGCTGTAAGACAAATTTTG